CTGTCATAGTTTAAGAGCTATCGAATACAAACCCTTCCATTGTTTGGTTATTCATTTTTGTAGCTTATATCTTTAAAGTTCATCTATTTATTTGATGAATGAGAGACACAGAGAATGTAACCCCAACAGGATCCTGAGCCCACAAGATCCCCCAGCCTCACCAGTCCTTATCAGGAGCACACCAGTGCCCAGCATACTCAGAGAAGTCTCAGAACACAAACCCCAGAACCTTCCCACGTGGGTCAGCCTTGCAGAGTCTCACGTCTTACCACACTGTACCACACAAGCCCCTTATTTTTTATTTATTTATTTTTCTTTCTTTTTTTTTTTTTTGAGAGGTTTTTGCTATAGGGCATGTGTGCTCGCCAGGCAGACAGAGAGAGACAGAGAGATAGAAAGCGAGAAATCATCCCCCAGGGGGGATGGCCATGCCGCAATCCCTTCTCCTACATTCTCCTCTTGGGATCTTGGGCACGCACACGCACCCGGCGTGAGTTCTAAGCCACCGGGTCTGGGATGCGAACCGCGGTCGACTACATGGGACTCCAGCGACATAGCCATTATGCTAACTGCTGGTTCCCAGGCCCCTTATTTCTTAATATAATTTTAAAATGTTTGTATTAGTTGTCATTTTATCTTCTTGAGTAAAAATGGTATGATTTTGTAGTGAATCCCTATATTTATCTTACCCTGAAAAAACTCTGTACCCAAATCCTGATTCTATTCAGAAGTTAATTTGTGCACATTCAAAAGTATTGGAGAACTCAGGTGAGGAGCTGGCAGAGCTGGCACTGATGGGTGCCTTCACAGCCTACACAGCACAGGTCTCTGGGCAGCACAACTGAGGGTTTGTGAGACTGAGTGTTCGCCCTGGTTCCCCTGGAGCAATAACAGGCGATCACGCTGCAGCACTGACTGGAGACAGCTGGGCTTCATGAGCCAGGGAGTGAGAGTGTGAACATGCCACACCTCAACCGTCTTGCCTGGCAAACTCCACACTGCAGAGGTCAAGGATGTTCCAATGGACCCAGAGAGAGCCTTGCCCACACGTCTGCCCCCAAAGAGCTGGAAAAGAATCCAGGCCTTCTCTGCGCCTCTGATTAGATGCTTTTATGTGCTGATTCCAAGGAGAAAAACCACACCAGGCACAGGACTCCGGTTTTCTTGAAAAAAACAAAGTGCACATCATGAAATGTGAAACAGTTGAAAGAGCTAGCAGCACTTGAGAACTTGGAAGGAAACAGAGATGCTGAAAACCGTGATTGGAACAGCGGCAGGCCCTTAGGCAGTGGGTGGATGCAAGTGGGCAGCGGTGAGTCAGCTGTTCAGATGAGAGGGAGAGAAGATGGAAGTGGTTTCTGTGAGTGCAGAGCTCTCCATGGACCTGTGGCCAGCATCAGGTCCCAGCATGGCAGCTTGCAGAGTACTGAAAAGAGGAAGGTTATTCTGGTGCCCACTGAAATCTCGTGTTTTCTCACCAGGGCCCACAAGCCATCACGGTGCAGGGAAAATTATTCATGGGGCCAATGCAATCCAGGGAATTGCTTGTATTCTGGTATGATGCATATGCTTTTAAAAAGAAAAGGAAAAGAAACCACACATGAACAGAAGGGACACAGGCAGGTACATAGGTATATTTGGCTATAGATGGGACAGACCTTTTGCAGCAGGACAAATACACCTAATGTACATGTTACTAGTCACATGTTACTATCACAGTTTCTAATGTCAGCAAAGATCTTTGTCAATATTCATGAATTTAGCTTAATCAAAAATAGGACATTGGTAATGCAATACCCTTCCTTTTCTTTCCAGCTGATGCATCAACATGCATCTGAGTAGCCACATTAGGGTTCGAAACCCTTCCTGAGAGTTAATTAGGGTCCAAAAATAAACAAGCAAAGGACATCCTTTACTTACAATTGAGAAAGTAATACTCCTATACATTTTTCAGTTAAGATTGATTTTAATAGCATATTTATTTCAATTTTGCAGCTTTATTTTATAATATTTTCATAGGACAAGGCTAGAAAAATTGAATGTGGCAGCACAGTGGTAATACTCAGGCTACATGGAAGAGTTCCTAGTTCAAGATCCAAGGTCTTCCTATAAAAGCCAGGCATGCTCACTGGGTGATCCTGGCTGGCTGGAAGTAGAGGTGGTCCATTATTAGAATGCAATAAAATTCAGTGTTATTTTGTAATTTTAAAAATCACAATAATTATCACAATAATTATTATTATCCAGATTAACAACAGAATCATTTGGGAGCATCGATTTCTCTTTCTTTTAATTCTAGGTTTCTCAAGACAGTCTTTTTATTGCCAGAGTGAATGATTAACTAGGAAGAGTGCTCAGGAGGGTTATAGCCATTATTTTGCCAGGAAGCGTTAGTGTTTCAGCAACTAGGAACTATGGCAGGCTCCAGTGAGCTGGTGTTGGTATGTCTCTGATAATATGTGGAGTAAAAGAAAGCAAAGTCGGGTGCTAGTACTGTGAAGCTGAGGCTGTTGATTAATCCAGAACTCACTCTTGTCTGAGTCCCTGGAAAAAGTACCCATTCACTTGTCTCCCTGTGCTTGATGGTCACACTGCAACCCTTCTCCTCCATTCTCCTCTTGGGATTTTGGGGGCGCACGCACATGCCCCCAGTGTGAGTTTTAAGCCACCGGATCTGGAACTCAGACCATGGTTAACTATGTGGGAGTCCAGCGACGTAACCGTTATGCCATCTGCTGGTCCCCACTTTGCCTTTTTGTTAGCAGAAAGTCAATTCCCCTTTCTATATTCATAATGTTCTGATTTACTTTTGTTTTCTTTGTGCCCACCAACAACTGTCAAATTTTGCTTTCTAGGAAAGTTAAAATAAGAAACCAAAATTGTGAAGTTGTGAAAATTATAGAGGAAAATGGTGTGGCCCTTTTGCTTTTCCCTTACTTCCCTTTACTTCCCTTTTCTCTTACTTCCCTTTACTTGTATCATTTCGTCATGACTGAGAATGTGATGCACAGGCGGTGAGACAACCTTGCCCCATAAACCACCATGTGAAAAAAGTACAAAAATGTAAAATAAAAAGTTGCAAACAAGTACAAAACAAAGGGTATTTCTCTGACAGAATAGGCTGGGTCTTGCTACCCTGCACTGTAAGAGGAAGACAGAGACAAGAAGCCCAATAGAATGACACTGAGTAGAAGAACAAGTAAAAAGTCATTATTTTGTCTAATGTAAGCTTCTGATGAAAGATGACATCATGTGATTCCCTGTGCCTACTTCAAAAACTTTGAGCATAACATATGTTCAATAGTTTTTTGTTTTTTTTTTTTTGAGAGATTTTCACTGTAGGGCGTGTGCGCTCGCCAGACAGACAGAGAGAGACACAGAGACAGAAAGTGAGAAATCACCCCCCAGGGGGGATGGTCACGCCGCAATCCCTTCTCCTCCATTCTCCTCTCGGGATCTTGGGCATGCACGCACACGCGCCCGGCGTGAGTTTTAAGCCACCGGGTCCGGGACACGAACCGCGGTCGACTACGTGGGAGTCCAGCGACATAGCCATTATGCTAACTGCTGGTTCCCTATAGTTTTAGTAAATGTACTGATCAATAAGAACTGCATCTGACTAAACGATAAATATTTTACTACTGAAGGCAAAATGATTGCAATTGTATAATCCTTGCACCTACTTAGACAAAACCAGCTTTTGCTATCAGTATCCGAGGGCTGTTGACACTTTGGGATTCTGGGGTCATGCACTGGATGAGGAGGTCATCATGAGACCTTAGGTCCCTCAACAACACTCCAGGGTCAAGAGTATGTTTCTTAGAAGATTTATAATTTTGGTAACAAAGAAATAAGCCCCTCCAAAGTAAAAGAGTTCTAAAGTCATCAGGGTGTGGTGGGCCAGTTTTCAGGGAGTGAGCCAGAAAGTTTAGGTTGAGGATGCTGTCACTCTACGGGAGAAGGTGTCACTAATGTAACAATTACCTGACGAGTGAGATGGTGCCGAGGAAATAAAATTACTTTGGAATTAGGATCTCTATACTCATATGAACCTGCGAAGAACCAGAATTGCTTCTAGGAGTATTCCCACACCAGGAGAGTACTATAGATTTCAGTAAGAAAATGGTAGAAGAGGGGGCCAACAGGTAGCATGGTGGCAAAGGCACTAGACACTCCCACATGGGCCACCACAGTTTGTGTTCTGGACCTCATGGCTTGCTTTCTTACTTTCTCTCACTCACTTTCTCTCTCTCTCCCTGTGTCTCTCTCTGGTCAAATGAAAATAAATGAATGAATAAAATTAAATAAATAATTCTAAAAACCCAAAAATGGTAGAAAGAAGTTTATATTAATCATGACCTTATGGCCCAGTGAAGCATGGACCTTCATGAATGCATTTTAGAAGAGAGAGAAATTCACTCACTGATAAGCATCAGTCTTTGAAAAACAGTGAACAAAATCCAGTTATTAACTCTAAGCAGTTTATTGAATGTGATCTGGTAAATCCCTAACCAAAGACAGGAACCCATAGGGCTGAGGGAGCCTGTCCTCAGTAAAGAATGTAAAAATGGAAGCTGGGGTCAGGGTTAAAACTTTTGTTCCTGGATAGAGCTTATGAAAAAATCTATAATATGTGTATTATAGATTTAAAATGTGTATTTTTGCATGTGTACATGGCTACACACTTACATACACTTTTATCTTTAGCACAAATACATTTATTTATAAATATTTATTTGGGTTGGCCAATCAGAAGTTCACTGGAAAAATTAAACTTCTATTGCAGAATTACTTGCTTAGGTTGATGACATCTTCTTAGGCCAGATAGAAAATAAGTAAATGAAACAAAAAATGGAAACAAAATTGTAGAGAGATGTTCAGAAAATGAAACTACTGTGCCTCTCTATTAAAAGCCATGCATAGAAAGCACGAACACAGAGAACCAGGTTCACTGTTCACCCACACCCAGCTCAGCCAAGACAGCAGCATCCTCACCTGCCATGGCCCTCCTGCTCCCTGTCCTGACAGCCCTGGTGCTGTGCAGTTTTGGCCCTCTGGAGTCTCTGGGCTGTGACCTGCCTCAGAACCCTGGCCAGCTTAGCAGGAAGACCCTGGTGCTTCTGGGACAAATGAGGAGGATCTCCCTCATCTTGTGTCTGAAGGACAGAAGAGACTTTGGCTTTCCCCGGCACGTGGTGGAGGACAGGCAGTTGCAGGAGGCCCAGGCCGTGTCAGTCCTCCACGAGATGCTGCAGCAGACCTTCAACCTCTTCGTCTCAGAGGCCTCTTCTGCCGCCTGGAACACAACCCTCCTGGACCAACTGCACTCTGGACTTCATCGGCAGCTGGAAGATCTGGAGGCCTGCTTGGTGCAGGGGGTGGTAGAGGAACCATCTGCCCTGGCCCCTGAGAGCTCTCTACTGGCCTTGAAGGGGTACTTCCAGGGCCTCCAGCTCTACCTGAAGGAGAAGAACTACAGTGACTGTGCCTGGGAAATTGTCCGATCAGAAATCCTGAGATCCTTGTCTGCGTCATCCAAGTTGTACGAAAGGTT